TCTCCTGGGCAAGAATGCAGTACAAGACTTCAAAAAAAAGGAAGAAAAAAGATTCACTTGCATGCACTTTAATAGCAAAGCCCAGGCAAATTTCAGAGGATTTTTTTTTTTACTTCTCACATTTTAATCAGTGATAATGCTGCAAAAAAAAGAAGGTTAACAATTCTCAGCAAATGTTTTTATTGTTTTTGGTAGGAGTCAGTGGCTTCCAAGTGCGGGGAAAGCATCCGGGGACACCTCAAATGTTTGAGTTTGTCTCGCGCCGCTGCCGCCGCCGCCACGTCCCTCACGGCCACCGCGAAATCCTCGTCCACCTCTAAAGCCATCACGCATACGTCCACCACGACTACCGCGTTGCTCGTCCGTAAAATTGATTTCAATGTCGAGGCGTTTCGTACGTGGTTCACGACGCTGAAAATGTTTCGTTAAACTTTACAAGTTCTGTTAAAATTTCCCATATTTCTCTTAGGACTGGCATATAATGATTGTTCCTGTCATGGGCTGTCTTTCTTTCTTTTCTCTCTCACTCTGCTTGCTTCCCCTCTCTCGCTCTCTGATTTCTCTTTCTCTCGCATATCCGTCTTGCAAATTAGTCACATGACTGTTCAGTACATGGCGGGTAGGAGGCTGTACTGATGATTCCCGCTCCTACAGCATGCGTTGCTCGGTCTATGTTTATAGCTAAGGGATGAAACATAGAATACATCGTAAAATGTCCTCCGGTACATGACACTTAAGACCAATCCTTCTATTCTATATTCCATACTGTACCTCCAACGAATTTCGCCTCCAAAACGTCCTTTTTTATCTAAGAGATTGCAGCCTAATCAAAAACGAAAACGAATAGACCATACCACAACGACAATTTCCTCTTCGGGCGTTTCGTCCACAAACGATTTGGTGAGTGGGACGAGTTTCCCGAAGTCTTTATCATTAGTTCCTTCACCGGCCTGACGTATGTTGAAGTGAGGCTCGGAGCGTTTGGCGGCCAGCTGAGCTTTGAACTCGTCCAGAGTAAGCTGCTTCGACAGTGCCTCTTCTTCGGCCTCTATACGCAACTCTTCTTCCGTTTTTTCCCGTGGCACCACCACTGCCTCTTCCTTTTCGCCACCTGTTAAATACAGTGCATGAATTGCCCGGCTTAAATTTCACGAGCAGTATAATAAGGACAAGTTTTAGAATGTGAACCTACAAGCCGACCTACTTCCCTCCCCTCACTTCGATCTATCTCTCTCCACCCACTAATTTCTAACACTTCCAGCGCATTTTAAATAATTTCATATTACCTACCTTCAACCCTACCTACCATATTACCTACTTATTAACTACCTCCGCCCTTCCTTCAATTTTGCCTATACAAACCCCTTCTGAAAACCATGGGTTCTTAGTCCCGGAATCAACGCGAGCTACTGGCCTGCCATGACTAACGCTACTAATTGGCCGCCTCGATACGACTAGCGTCCTCCTTCCGCTGAATAGATTGTGCGGTGCCCCAGCTTGTTTTTATTTTGAAGTGAAGCTTTGTTGGGGAATAAAGTGCTGGCACTCTTCACTGTCTTCCGCTGTTGCAGTCAAAGACCATGTAAGGATCTAACAAGCATTTTAAACAACCGCCTTTATATTGCAAAAGTAAAAATTAGGCACAGCCTAACAACTAGTACCGCTATGCTAATTCCCTTATTCTACACCGTTTGTTTTTCCTGCAACTGACCAATGCCACTACTATGAACACTTGAAAGAAGCTCATCCCAATTAACTGCTCTATAAATTAAGCTGCTTTGTGACAAAGCTGCGCTTATGGTAAAAGGGGTATTATATGACGTTTTTATTTTTCCCCGATCCCCTCTTCTATTTTTCGGCTCCCCATTAATCGTCTTCTGTCCCCCTATTTTAGATACTGTAATCCTCCTTCCAGAGGGGACGAATGCTTCCCGGGTCTGGAGACACATCTGTTACACCGGTAGATTCGGCTTGATGAACTACGTCCCTCCCCCTCCCTCGTCTCTACTATATAAGGGTGCCCTTTCATCAGTTGGGATCCAGTTTATCCATCGTGGGTTCATTCTCGTCTCTCATCATCGCCGCCGAAGGATCATTACCGTGCTCTCAGAACTGCTCTTCGACTTCAACTAAATACCTTAACGGGTCCCCTCCCTTCT